AGATGGCAACAATAACATCGACAACAGATTTGCAACAGATTTTAGATGTTTGAGTTGATATAACGTAACCATTACAGTTGTGCGGTCAATGCTGTGTGCTGAACAAATACAGAACAGCAGCAGCAGCTTAAATGCTTACTGGTATAACAGTATTTTTATCCAGTTAATGTCCCAGATTCTCAAAATTACAAACTTTCTCCACGTTTTATTCCAGAAACACTTCATTTCTTTGTTTTTTAATAGAAAAGCAACAAAATAAAAAATTTTTCATTTTTTGACGTTACGGAACAAAATTTTCGTCTTATTTTCCTACGTAATCCAAATAAATTGTTTTTTCTTTAACAGAGACTTTTCATCGGAACAGTACTCATTTTTTTGAAGTTGAATTTTGTGCAAAGCAGGATAAAAAAGATGAAAAAACCATATGTTTCTTTTTTAGACATAACAAATTGAGTTTTACTGCATTTTTTCTACTTTTTTCTTTTCTTTTCTTTTTTTTTGTTTTGTTGTATCTACTTGTTTGGATAAACAAATTTTATTGTCTTTCTTTTTGGTCTCCGTCTTCTTCTCATGCAAAAAATGGGAAAGTTACTTGATATTTCTCCTTTCGCTTTGGAAAAAAAGGGCAGAAGAGGAGAGAAGGAAAAAGAGGAAGCAAAAATAACAAAGGATTAAAAAAGTAGGCGAAAGATAACTAAACAGTAATTGGATAATTGTAGACGTACAGCAGAGGTTCAAAAGTTAATGTAAAACAGGACTATTAGCAAAAAGAATAAATAAGCAGACAAGTAATTTAAGTTGTTTTGAAATGAACTGAACTAAAAAAGCAACAGAAGGAAGTGCTTGAGAGACACATAGATAGGAGAACAGCAATAAAAAATCCTTTAAATACAGAAAGGTAAAAGTCAACAAATTTATAGACAATAATACATCATCATCAACTCAGATGTACACTGATTTGTTCAACTAGTTCATAATTGTCATTCATCGACAGAAAGTTCATTTTTATGTACTAATTGTACAACTGATCACTACACCAGTTTTTAACACTTTTTTTTGTTCCAAATGACAACGAAAAATATGCGCTTCAAACATTGTTGTGTAACAAAAGCTAAAAAGAATTATTAAAAAAAGTTTCCCTCATAAGTAAAATATCATCTAAAAAAACCGCATAAAAGGAAAAAAACACAACTGTCAAGATTTCGCCAAATTTATCACTGTTTGCCATCGTCAACACTTACGCATGAAGGGACTTTTTGAAGGAATTGAGACTGTCGCTTTTTGCAGCTTCAATTAAAAAAGAAGATATCTTATATATCTATCTGTCAATTAAAGCGACAAAAAATCCTTGTAACATTGTTTAGGGTACATTGAACAAATCAAGCTGAAAAAAAAAAGACGTAAAAAAATCAGCAAATAGTTTTAAAAAAAGCAGAATACGTACACATAGGTTTACTGAGGTGCTCATAAAAAGATGATAATTTCCTCGATAGACTTAAAAGAACACACTTAGTTTATACAAACCCACAGTCAAACAAACAAAAAGATTCAGTGGCTTCAATGTTTATATTTACTTAAAAAGTCAAAAAAACTGCCACAATCGAATAACTCAGCTGAAATTGTCATCAACAGCATCGATTACCGTTTTCAAAATCAGTATTATCCTCAGTGCTAACATTGATATTCTTACTATTATTACTACTGTTATTACTGTTACCACTATTATTATTATTATTATTATTATTATTATTATTATTGTTATCGTCGTTATTATTATTATACTTGTCACCACCATTATCATCATCGTCCATAATGTCTTAATAAATTTCAGACTCATAAGAATTTTTTGAAACAGTATCAATTTAGCATTAAAAAAATGGCTTTCTCAGATAACATAATAAACGAAAAAAAAATTTTTCCTGAATAACCGCAAAAAGCTATCACTTTAACTTGATAAAGAATTGGAAAAAGCGTGAAAAAAAGAGTCGGATGCAGTCAAAAACGAGCACTTGACCAGTTCGTTACACATCTATTACGATTATTCTAATTTTGAGTGCCAAATCAGAAAAATTTTGATAGACAACTGACACAGCAAACTCTGTTGATATAGTCTGTTCCGCCCAAAAATCAAGTGTGCTATTTATCAGCTTGCCCTGTCAATTTCAACCTTATTCGATAACAGCAATTAAGTTAAAGTCAGTTTTAGCCTGGAAAAAATTATATGTTACAATTTCCCAGCCATCACTATCAGTTACCTTTTTCCTTCTTGCCTTTGAGAGAGAAGAAAAGAAAAGAAAAAGAGAAAGAGAAGAGATGGTTTTTTGAGTCTTTCAGAAAGCAACTTTTATATCAAGTTTTACTCTATCCACTTCTTTTCTTTTTGTGTTGAAAGCATACTAAACTTCACTATGCTTAATCTATGTGTCTCCTTTTACAGTATTCCAGAATAAGCAAATAAGTGAGGAAAAAGCTTTTATTTATTTATTCATTTTTTGCCAAACACTTGGTAAAATTGTTCCACAAAATAGACAGCAAATTTAAAAAAAAAAAATAGAAAAGCAGAAAACTTCCGAGTAATTTGAGAGTTTTCGGAAAATGTAGTATTAACAGGATTGATTGGTATGCAGAAAAAAAACTGTATCAAAATACATCCTTTTTTCCTAAATCTTTTTTTTCTGCTAGCCAACACTGCTATTGTCAAAACCAGAAGATAGAAAAAATAGTACGTAAAAAAACCAAAAAAACCCCACCAAAAAACTGTCAACTCGAAGTTATCCAAGTTTACAGCAGCATAAATACGTCATCGATAGATATTACTCGGAGAATATATTAACTTTTTATACGAAAATATAAATATTACTGTTGTCAGCATTCTTCCTCCTGCTTTTTTTGTCGAAAAGCCTCTCACAGTAATAGAATTCATAAAGATTCTTCAAACGTAACGAGAAAATGCGAAGAAAAAAAAGGCGAAAAATTAACAAGGTATGACAGAAAAGATTATTTAACATTTATTTATACCGTCTCCGAGCTAAATGGTCAGACAGCCCCAATCTTACGACGCTAATCAATTATGCTAATGAATCAGGTTGTTCCGGAAGTTCATCAGTCATTTACCAATTTTTCCATTCATTATCGGTTATTTCAAGGTATAAAAGCCACGACTGATCAAACACTTCACCAATTAGTCAGATGAATCAACGTCAGTTAAATAGTAAACAAAAACGTCAGAGCTCAAAGACACTTATTTATCATTATTATCATTGTCCTCATCGTGCTCGTTCAGGCCACCGCTGTCGCCTCCGCCTCACTCACCCTCCTCACCCTCTTCCTGTCTCTCCTCATTATCGTTATCATTATAATGCCGTCCCTCATCATTTTTGCTTCTTGGTTCAAGACAGTGGACATTCCAATTATTTTACTCATTTTTTTGCCTGAAATTATTTCCTTTGCCTTTCTGTACCAACTGTAAAGTAATTCTTTTCAGCAAGTTTGTGAATAACAGCAAAACAGTCGCTGAACAAAGTTGACCAACGAACAAACAGCACTTGTCACACGTTTGAAAGTTTTTCATTGGAATTTTAACAGTTCACGTCAAATCGATAAAAACACAGTCAAAAACAGACGTATACAGAGAAAAACATAAGCATATACAGATAGGCACACGACACATTGACATGAGACCGACGGCATCAGTACAGACACAGATGCGAAGTACAGCAGAAGAAGATAAATTCTTTTTTAATTTCCCCAGCCGTCCACAAGAAGAAAAGAAAAAACACCTAAGTGATAGGAGTTCGCGAGTTATAGTAGTGATGAAAAAATGATTGTCATATGGGTAAATAGTATGTCAGCCAAAAAACTTAAGAGTGTTCAGAGCACTTAGTGGATTTGCTTTTTAGATTGTTTATGATTGCTTTTTTCAAGTGTTTTGCTGTTATTATAATAAAGTCTACTTTTTTTAATGTTCGCTAATCTTTCCTCGTCACTGATGTTTTTGTAGAGCTTTTTAGCTGCAAAAAAAATTTGGTGTTTTCTAAAAAGTGTTAGTCAAATTTTCTTCCGTTTTTTTTTCTCTTGCGGTCCCCATTTTACTAATGGTAAGACTAGCAAAAATAAGCCTAAACGATGCTTAAACACGTACGTATGATCTCTGAACAAATATCACACTTTCAAAAAAACAACAATCCATCAACAAACGGTGTCACATTGTTTTCTATAACACTGCAT